ATAAAAACAGTAGAAGGATACAAGAGAGAATCAGAAAGAAGATGGAATACACTAGAATGAGGAATATCTGCCAAATATGTGTTACAATAGATGGGACTGAGGTGAGATGAGAATAGGCGGAGAGATTTCAGTGAGGAAAGCACAAGAAGAAACAGCAGACAGCACGGGTCTGGAAGACATCCAAAGAACAACTTGGAGAGGGAGGACATTGTATAAGGAAGAAACTGAATAGAGGAATGTGCAGGGGAGTTGAAAACACAGGTGTAAAAAAGCACATTAAATAGAAAGAAGCTGAACCAGCAAGCAGCTACATTAGGAGACAGGAGGGGGTAAAGATGTGTTCTTCCTCTTAAAAGAGTCTTTTTGTGCATCTATGATTCTATGATCAGTTCAGAGCTGAGCGCTCTACCAAGCTCAAAAAATTTGGCTAGAGCTCCCTCTGGAGGCAAAGAGTAAAGAGATTTTATTACTATGTAAGACAATTTCATACGTGTTTGGGAATTACCACAAGGTACTTCAGCCCTGCCTGCATTCACTACAGCATACACAAAGTGTGTGTGTGGTCCTCTGAAAGCTTATTTCACACCAGCCTTTGTGGCAAAGAGTGAAGCCAAATGCAGCCAAACTGGGAGCAAAAAGGCAGACCAAGCAAGAAAACACCTGAAGTGGATTTTGAAGATGAAATAAAGCAAGGAAAGGACAGTAGTGTGATCCGTGGGCAAATAGGATGGCCGGTTCCTTCTTATATGTCTGCTCCACACCAGTCTTGTACCTTTTTTTGCTTGGTATGCATCCACTCCCAGAAACTCACATTACTTGCAGGAAAAGTGGAGTATGTAGTCGCCTTAAGCTGTTAGTCCATCTCTGCTGTGTGCTTTTCTACAAATAGCATCAGCTCTGGAAGGCAGAAAGCCAAAGCCACATTGTAGTAAGTTCATTTGGCTGCTGTCTCCTTCAGCAGGCACTAGAAAACATGGCAAGGCAAGTGGCACTGAAAGGGAGAGCCCCAGGAAAACCAAGGTTGTTGTTTAGATTATTTCTCTCCTTGGATTTGTCTCTTAGCCCTAGAAAAGGGATGAAGAGATCTGGAATGGTGTGGAATGGGACAACTCTGTAGGGACAACTCTGTGCGGGTCAGCGGATTCTGCTGGTCCTCCCCATGGCTCCGTGCCCGTCCTCCCTGCCACACGGTGAGATCCACAAAGCCCTTGAACATCGACGGGGAGCAGCCTCTCACGGGAGGCAGAGGAGGGATGGCCCGCAAGCTTGTTCCTGCCGTGGGCAAGTGGTGGGGGTGGCGGGGGGCAGGCGCAGCTCCGGGCCCGGGGGGCAAGCTGGCTGCCCGAGCACTGCTGAGCTGAACTGTCCCAGACCCGTTTCTGCTCCTGCGCTGCCGAGCACACTGCGCAGCCAAGGAAAAGCTCCGCAGCGGTGGGGACTGTGGCCCTCCCTGGCCTGCAGCGCAGTGCTGGCCCTCCCTGGAGCTGCTACCCCCACTGCTTCCACCTGCCTGCCCCACCGGTCGCCCCTCTGCCTGCATGTCTTCTCCTCCTCCCCCTAATGCAATGCATACTGCAGGCGTGGCATGGATGAGCGCACGGGTGGTCCCCCCTCCGCCTCCCGTGAGAGACCACTCGCTGCCAGGTCCTCAGGGCTCCCCGTGGTGCTGTGCAGAGCCCCCACCGATGTTCAAGGGCTTTGCAGAGCTCACCACACGGTGGGGAGGAGCGGTGGAATCCGCCAACCCGTGGAGAGTTGTCCCTGCAGAGACTTGTCCACACGCAGAGTTGTCCTAGACCTAGGCCCTATGGCTTGCACAGCAAGCACATTCAAAGCTGAATTTCACGCTCTGAAATGTTTGCATTTAATCTGGCGCAGGTAGTTTTCCCTAGAAAATATGAACACACACTTACCACGGATTACTACAGTGTAAGAGTATGCAGAAAGGTTTTTATCTCATATTAGGTGACACTGCAGGATTACATTCCAGTTTATCTAGGAATGTTTTGTAATCTGCTCAGATCCTGAAGGCTCAAACGTCCAAGGCATATTAAAAAGAATCCAAAAAGAAAATCTCATTAATTCTCAAATGATTCCTAATACGTTGTCTAGAGGCTGGGCTCAAAACTGTACTTTTAAGCCACTCATAACAGTCCTTCCAGAGCAATGGGGGTGACCTTATCCTCTCTACTAATTTGTGAAAATGAATGTCATCTTCTGGTGGGAGGATAATCAAGGGACAGTCTTGACTCAAGAACAAAAGTGAAGAGCAAAACAACCAGGATAAATGAGAAAATGAGGTAGGTTGGAAAGATGGTACAGACTATAAAGGTAACGGAACACTTTGGAGAGGTGAGGCAAACACAGGGAAGAAGAGGAGGCAGAGGTTCTGGAGGGAAGCAGCGTGTTGCACAGGTGAGAAAAAACTCATTTGTTGACACTTGATAGCTTCAAACCTTACTTGTTTGTGAGCTCAGTAGATGCTTTAACCAGTGGTGCAGCTGGAGGTAGCCTGGAATATGGTTTCCTCACACTGCAAAAGGAAGATGACTGTGGGTTGTTTTAGAACTGAGGCATGGACTCATCTTACTTTATTTGATGGAAAATATATTTATGAGATTGCTTAGGCTCCATTTTCTTCATAATTACTAAATGCAACCAGCAGCAGCATTTCTTCAGTGCTATCTACCAGCTATTCTTCAGGATTAGTGATTTTAACTTTGGTGCTAAAGGCAAGGAACTGCTACTGTGATTGCTTCTCCTCCTGCTATCCATGTGGATACAAATGAAGCACCCTCTTACCAGTGTGGAGCTGCTGCCAGGGGTATGTTGCAGTTCCAGCATGGAGGGGACTTCACGCCAACCACTTACCCGTCTGGACATGCTGCCGTCCAGCCCACAGCAGTGAAAAGGGTTGAACCATCCCATAAAGTAATCCTGGAGAGGAAGAAACTGGCAACCCAGGTTTCATGCTGTATGCAAATTACTGATTCCACACATCTCTGCCTGTTAGACTGGGGTGCTTTAAAATACAAGGTAGGCAGAAGCACCTGAAACAAATACAGCTGATAATGACTTCAGTCCTGCAGGCAGCACTATCAGCTAATCAGCGTATAAAAATAATCCTTCGTGTGCTGGCATACAGTATTCGCTTTGTACATCATACAGGAGGAACGTACTCCCAATGCTGTCAAAAAAAATCCCTTGTTAACGGTGAGGAACTGAAAGAGCAAAATTTTGAATATCCACTTTTGCCCAGTCCTTAAGCACCTTGGTCATAAAGGGCTTCGAGAAGTCTTCAACAGTGCCAAATCTTCTGTTGGTCATGACATACAAATTTATGCTGACTGATGTGAAGTCAGCTAACTGTGATAAAGAATCCATTAAAGAATTGAAAGAATGAATGGAGCTGAATAAATTATTGGAGGATCTGGAGAAAACAACACCAGAAGACTACCTGTCATGAAAAACACATGTTCTGTTGCTGTCAAACAGTGGGCTCATAAAAAAGAACAGTTTATCAACATTTTGTGTCTGCTCCCTGTTGTCATTTGTCTTCCAGTCCTTGATCCTTCCCTGTCTTATGAAAAGCTCTCCGCCCCCGGCTGATGAAGCCACTCCTCTGTTTTCAGCTGAAGGGCTGAAATACTACCTGTTTTAGCGGGTGAAACCCTGAACGGTTTTGCCAACCGTCACTGTCAATGATAGTGTTGTATACAAGTTTTCACAACACCAAACCTGATTAGTCTAAGGGAACGTTATCTCAGATCATATTATCTGCCTCTCTAAAAAGCTTCCTCCAAGAGCCTCCTGCACCCACTGGGACAGACTGAAAGACCTCTAAGCCTACCTCCACAAATGCGACTGTGGCTTACGAGAAAGAATGCACAGACCTTTAATCATGAGACTTTAAATTTATAGACTTTGTTTCAAGTTCTTTCTCTGTAAATCCTCTTTCCAGTTAGCAATAAGTAAGGCCCAATTCTGATTCTTCCCTTAGTATCTTTATTTGTTACACATCAGGAGAAATTTACCAAGATTTTCCAAACAGAAAACAAGAATGAAAGATTAACTCTTTGTAGGTACAATCCTCAGGATGCAACTGTCTGGAAAAACATCTTTCAGGGTAGTGATCAAGAGGAAAGCAAAAATCTAAGGCATGCAAAAAAGGAATTCACATGCAGAAACAACCTTGCAGAGTAAATCTTCCCTGAATCTGTGGGGCACCACTTCCTACAAAGGAATGGCACAGAGCTGGTAGGGAGGTGGCCTCATTGTACTCCCAAAAACACACTTCATATTGACTTCTTTCACTCCCTCTGGCAGGGTGAACCTGAATGCCTGTAACAGGGTGGAAAAGGCAATAAAGAGCTCCATCCTTGCCAACAGCTCTCCCATACATACATGCTGCCCTGTGAAAAGACAGAAAGGGCAATCAGCCAAAGGGTTTCTGCCACACCTCCCTTTCTAACCTTCTTGGGTTTTTGCTTGCTTGCTTGTTTTCTGCCAACTTTGTCCTTTTCTCTTAACTGACTTTGCCATTTAATGATTCAGAACTGAAAGGTTGCTTGTATTTCCACCAAAAGTTTTAATGTATGTTTATAGCAGGCAGCAAGACATTATAGAAACGATCACCAGGGTGGCATAGTTCACATTTACAGTCTTCCTAGGACTGTGCATTTTGCTGCCTCTATCTTGATAACTGGATCTCTCTCCAAGAGAAACTGGACCTGTCTTCCAAGAGAAACTTTTCTATGTGTCATTCCTTCTCTTCCAATCTTTTCCACACACAATTCTCTCTTCCTGGGGATCTTCAAAAAACAACGCAATGTGTTTATATACCTATTTGTAGATGCCTTCCCAGTTATGTTGGGGAATGAATAAGGAGTAAATAAAGGAGTGAAGTAAAGTAAGAAAGGAGTAAATAAATCCCTGTTCAGTGCACATACCTATTGAAAACGGTAAGAATTCTTCTCTGTTTACAAAGTTTCCATCTTCATCCAGAAAGTGGCCTGGGTTGAACTGATCAGGTGTCTCCCGTTTTCCAGGATCAAACAGAACAGAGTCAGTATTTGCTAAAATTACGGTGTTCTGAAAAAAAGAGCAGCAGCTTCAGTTCTGTCTTTTTGTTCATATTCATCAGATAAGCAAATAATGACCAAGGAGCAAAGAATTTAAAGTTCTAATTTAAAGTCTCTCTTTTTTTTTTTTTTTTAAAAAAATGAGATCAAGCTTTAAACATTTTATAAGAAGTTTAAACTTTTGAGAATGTCACGACTTCCTTTCCTTTATTACTCACTGCCAATAAGTTCAATAAAATAAATGGTTAGGATTTTGTATTGTTCATATTGTTAAAATGTGTTGCTTTTATTTTTCCTGTTGTCACTAATTATTTTTATTACTTATTCAGCTTTTGAGTTGCAGAATATCATGAGTATCAGTTTAATGTTTCCCTTTGTTACTTAATACTTTCTGCAACGCTACAGTTGCTTTGAGCAGATCCGGAATAAAGGACAAAAGTGAAACTACATGAAAAGCAGTGATGGGGGAATATTTAGAAACAAGCCCTAACGTACTCTTCAGTTACAAAACTTGAAAATACTTTAGTTTCACTATAACGTTTGCAAGGTACTGCATTTAAAAGCTTGTGATAGGAAAATAATTTTAAATTTGCAAGTTTTTCAGTAAAACCTGTTTTCCATTTTCACCAGCTCACAAACCATTTTGGCAAGGGACAGACCTGGGATTGCTGGAAATTAATATGTTTATTTCCAGTCACCATTCGCAAGTCTTCTGTCAGCAGAAATAATGATCTAAGAACCTACTAATATTTATGACAAAGGGCACGTTTTCTTGCCAAAGGCCAGCCTTAGAGAGTGTCATAGATTTGGGGCACTGCTAGAACCGACAGGATGCGAGGGTTCATGTCCCAGTCGGGAACACCCTCAAAAGCCTTTCTAAATTAATCGAATGTACCAAAGACTTACTGATATCGGCAGTTCTTGAGCAATTAAATCAAAAGAAACTGCAAAAGGGCAGTGTTTTGGGAATCACTAGCTGAGGTGGCTTCAGTTGTTAAAAGTTACATTCAATCAGTTTTAAAAACGGTTACAAGTGTACCAGGCATCAGCTGTTCAAATCCGCAGCATATTTGTACCTTTGGAACAGGGAATCCCAGCAGCTCCGTGTCCTGCACGCTCTGTCTGGGAAGCGCAATTAAGATTACATTACTGTATCGCTGGATCTCGTGAAAGACAGCGTCTGTATAGGGCAACTTTCTCCTGTCCTCGTAGCAAATTAAATGGGAACAACCCAGAACAGCGTCCAGCTCCTTCTGGACTTTCTCTAAGGAGGAATATTCAGCTTTAAATATACACCAAACAATCTATACTCATATTTTTTCATATTGCTTTTTACAGTAATAATAATAACATCCAACAAGATGAAAAAGGTATTTTATAAAATAAGAATGCCTTCAAATTCCCACACAGACGGCCTGAATAGAATTTGACACTGAGGGTTTGTACAGGCTGCATGCTCAGGTAATACTTTAAAAATAATGGTAGCAGACAAAGACCTTCTGTAAGAATATTTAGGTTCCTGTTACGTTTACTGCTCTGAGGTAATTTATAAAAAGACTTTTGTTCATATTTATTTTTAGAGGCAGGGAATCAACTGGAAAATGGAACAGTAATGATCTATTAAGAGACCAGTTTAGTAACTGATCAAGGATTGTGCTTCATTCAGAACCACATAGATGTTGCTTGTCATCTACAGATGGCCTAATTGCTATTCTCTAATTACCTGCCTTGGGAAGCACTTACATAAATTAATTTTTCTCAAGGACTTTTTTTTTTTTTTTAATTACTTACAATCTGAGCTGAAATGGTAATTTCTGATTAATTTCTGAGCTGAAATGATCTAATTAATACTACAGCCTTTATCATTGCAGTTAGATTGACCCTATACATCAGGAAACTTAAGACTGTTTTAATATATCCTGAGAGGACGAAAGATCATGCTGTGAAAATTCAGTATGTGGAATCCAGTCTCAAATTTTAGGTCTTCTGAAGAGCTGTTAGGTGACAACAATGGGAAATCTTTTCTCCTTAAAACTTCCACCATTTTCTTCATACCAGCTTCCTGCTGTGCCTGGTACCCAGCTTAGACTCTCAAATATGAGGCCTTTGATGTGATTTGTCTATCTTTTAATGCTTTCTACCCTGCACACTCTGATTCTTCCTTTTTACTGCCAACCTATACCTTTCTTTTATGAATATCATTACTAGAAGCATACAGATTCAAGCTACTCAGCCCAATATTTTTTGTATATCTAATTACATGTAGATATCTGTGTTTGTAGTTTTAAGCTTCATGGAATAACCACACGTATGAGCAACCTCCCACTGTATTGAAATTCTTTCTGCTGCAAAGAAGCTGGGACCACATCAAAGACTAGCAGTCATGGGCTGAAAAGGATGACCTGAAGACTCCACCCTGTCCTCAGCAGAAGTCTAATCACTTATGGTCAGTGGAGGGGCAATGGTGTAGTATCTCATTCGATACTAGACTATTCCATCTGATCAGATGAATCACACCCTGTGTTCTGTATAGATCTCTCAAAAATTAAACCCAAAATGACTGGCTTGTATGTTAGAAAGCATACAGCAGGAAACAGATACATGCAGTCCACCTGATTCAGAACCTAATAATCAGTTCTTCTACTATTCTTTGATCAGGCTCTACTCCATTGGAACACGTATAATTTCTAAGAAGTTGTAGAACTGTCTGGGTGTGCTTACCTTGAACATCAGGATAAACCACCATATACAGCAATGCCCCACGTAAAGTGGTGGCTGTAGTTTCTGTACCTGCCAGAAAGAGGTCAAAACCAGTCTGGATCAAGTTTCCTTCGTCGTAAGTAGCATCAGCATCTCCTTTAGTCTGCAGATATGAATTGGAAAGCTCAAGTTATAGCACACAGAAAAGTAGTAAACCACCTTGCATCACAGGAATATTTACCGACGCTATCCAAAATGAGAAAAAAAATAAAAATAAAAGGGCTAGAAAATAAAACTTTCTGAATAATAAGAGGGCATTTTCTAATATTCTCCAGTACTTGTCAATTTATCTTATCCACATACATGTTTTGTTCTTCAGCCATGACAAAGTTACTAATTATACATGCTTTCTACTCCTGCTGCAAATCCCATTGTAAGAGTCATTTCTAGTTGTACCTTAACCATAGGCAGATCTGTTATTATTGTGATTATAAATAATCTACCTGTAAATCTACTTATATTATTACTTCAACCTCTTCCTGCCATCTCTTAGTGTCAGCTTTTTTTTAATTCATCTACCTATAAGCTTTTCTATGGAGAAATTGTATACTTCTAAATTTGTATTAAGACATCATTATAATCAAAGGAGCACTTAAAATCCCTTGCTGTTAGTGGAGCATAAGAAGAGTTCGGAGATACTCACTTTATCTATTTCAGCCAGGTATTAATCAATAAAATCTTGATTTTCATCTGCTTTTCCTTTTTCTTTGTGGCTTTCAAGTTCCTTTGCTAATAGAGTGTTCACAAAATTTATGCTGGACATAGCCTGTTTAGATGGTGCTAGGAAGCGGCTTGCAAATCAGGGAAACATTTCATGTACCTATAACAAAGATATTTTAGATATGTGGTATTATTGACATTAGCAAACTAAACTTGAATCTTTTAGGTAGTGGAAAAAGCAAATGAAAACTTGATGACTGCATCTTCACCATTATATTGAAGGACTGGTGCCTATCCCATGATTCATTAAAGCCTTTTTTAAGCCCATTTTTCCCTGGAGCAGAATTTCTCTTAGTTTCATGCTACAAATTTTCCATTGTGATGTTCAAAGAATAAATGAAATTCCTCTGTAGCCCAATTCTTTGCCAGACTGATCTTCAGTAGCAAGGAACTCATACAAAGCATGCCCCTGTTCTCAGTTTATCCAACATACGTATCATTTCGATCTCATCGCTAAAAAACCAGAAGCAGGCTGGCATCTTTGAAACGTCTGCTAACTGAAAACAGAAATATCCAAACCCAGGTTTATTTTCTTACCGTAGGATACTGAAGGCATAGGGATTTTACTCAGATACACCTTCTCATGGATAAGAAGCAAACATCACATCTGTGTGACACGCAAAACAACTTGATAAAGCAGAAGTACTGAGCCATGTGGGTTCTCTGCTGTTCATTCATTGTTCTAAACCTATTCACATTCTTGCACTTATACCATTATAAACCCATATCTCAGCAGAAAAGAAACAAAACACTTTTTACATTAATTCCATTCTTCTACATCGTTTCCCTTTCTTTTTTCCCCTTTTACAGATTACACCACGTCCTTCCAGTTTACAGAATTACTGCAGCTTAAATTATGCACTAGGTCATAACTCTTGGGCTCACTTATTTAAATGGCAGCTGCATTACAAAGATTTATCTTCCCACAAACCTATTCAGATTCTTGGCTTGTATTTCTTCTTGGTCCTACTGCATAATTTTGCTTAGAACTACCTGTCCACTTACCAGAAAAATAGATTAGTAGAGAGCATCATCATTAAAGGATTGCACATCACTGTGGAGAGCAGGACAGAATGAAATACTGGGCTAGAATGTTTTTATTAGCTGTGGACACACTATTAAGAGTTTTTAAGAACAGCTTATACAAATACCTACTGAAAGCAGTTTGAAAATATCTGATCCTTTGCTTACCCTGATTAGAAGACAGCTTACGAATCATTCCACCTGCATTTTCTGTGAGAAAAAAAGTCTTAAGTAGTTTGTTCTTTTGGGTTTTTTCGTTATTTTTAACAAAATTAGCAAATTTGTCTGCAAATTCTCTAGGACCTTGATTACAGCAGTTTCCAGTTAGTAAGAGACAGTGGAAAGCCATGCCAGATTCAAAGCCGGACGAGTTCCATCAAGTTCTGCAGAAGCAGGCTGCCTTGTACGTTGGTAAATTGACTTCTTGCCTATGTACAGTATTGGGGTTCCCAAACCGCCCTTGTTTGAGGCAATCTGTTCCACTGATTTTGCAGTTGCAGGCATAGCTTCATACAGAAGTTAGACAGCAATTTTTTTCCTATCCAGTGGACCAGATGAGAAGTTAGGAGCTGCTGTCTTGAATGGGGACAAATATCATCCAGCAGTGAATGGAGAGCGACTTCCAGCATATATTACTGAATTCCCATAAGGACATACAGAGGTGGTACAGGTGTTGCTGACAAGAACTACAGGAAAAAGCTACCATCAAGCAATTTCATGATATGTAACCTTTACACAAAAGAGTTGCTCTACTCAAGTTTCTATGAAGTTAGCTAAGAGTAGTGAAAGGAGGTAGCAAAGAGTCATTATTACTCTGGACAATTGTTGATAGTCATGTAATTTCTTACAGTGAAGAAAAACATTTTCTCAGATAGAATTTTAGATAAGCCTATTCCAGATCTTTTCAGGTATTTTTACCCATATTTTACTACTGAATTTCAATTATAGTTTCAAACACAGGAGTTGTACAGTAGTGCTTTTGCAAGAAAGTCTTTTGTACATCTCCCAGACATATGGCAAGCCAATATGTTTCCGTCCCTGTCCACCAGACACGGGAATTTTCTATGCTATGATGAAGCACAAGCAATTGAAACAAGTTTTGAACTAGGCATCTGGAAGTACTGTCCTGGTGCGTACACCAGCAATTCCTGGTGCACTAGCATTTATTTTTGTTAGGAAAGTAACAAGCAAGTTGCTTTTTTCATTGTCTGTCTATATAAAGTGAACAAACAAACAAATTCTTTTCCTCACGAAAAAATAGATGCTGTTCCCAAATGCTGTTGTAGTATCAAAGGATTTGATCAAGCAGTGAAAATTTTCATCATCATCAGAGAAGCGATGTCCAAAAATCACAGAACACATCACATTTGAGACAGTAACAACAATAGGCATAGCGGGGTCCAGAGGCTTTCCTGTAGACACAGTGAACAGCATTCACCATTAACACTTACTATTCCTGCTTTTACTGCTAAAAGGAGAGCTGATAACATTTTAGAAACATTTCTGACACTAACTAGATTGCTGGATGGCAAATGGCAATTTATGAGTAAAAGGCATGAGTAAAAAGTAACTTCAGGCATCTAAAACCACTGCTGGTTAAAAAACCAGCAAGACTGCTAGTGGGAGTGGAATTAGTACAAGTAGTAGTTACAAAAATACCCAGATTTTACAGAACCTTGGCACCAGTAGATCTCACGTTTGGCCATAACCAGGGTACAAAAAAGGTCAACTGAGGCACTGTATGAATAAGCAGCTGAACTGAAAAAAGAATCACCTTCTACTCTTTGCTCATATCCTGTACACCTAAATAATAGAATAATCGAGCAGACCTACAGATGCCCCCCATTTTTCAGCTGCACAATCTGAACATACTTCCTCTCTTACTGAGGAGGCTACCGCAAGCCGTGTGAGGTGAACTTTTCCCAATGCACTTGCCAGAGCAGAGCCATAGGGTTGTGCAGCTTTGGTCAAAGTTTTTAATATTTCATGCCTTGTTTTTCTTTTCTGCAGAAGGATATGGGGGTGTTGTGACACTTATTTTCTTACTGTTGGCTGTCACCCTCATGCTGCGACCATGAGTAATGTAAAACTGACTAAGAAGTAATAACACTAACAGACAGGGACCATGGAGTCTCAGTTCTAAGTTCGTACTGTGGGGTTTCACATGTAGCACTTCTGCAAGGAAACGTCTCATGCAGACCGCACGATACAGAACTTTGAGACTCAGCTCTGCATGTACACTTTAAATCCATTTTTGTAACCAAGTAGTTTCAAAAGCTACAGGTGACCCATTCTTCAGCAAAATCACCCATTGCACTGACTGACCTGCATACTGAGTCACATACCAGTTGTTTTCTGTAAGTATTCCAGCAGGTGACGGGCCTCCTCTTGTAGTCGATACTCCTGGACTTTGTTCCCTACTCCCATTTTCCTCATTGTTGCAAGTCCAAAACGCCTCTCTTGCTTCCAGAGACGACCATTAGAGAACATAACACCTAGGATGATAATGAATTGATACAGTTAATACGTCAAAGGAGCTTCTTTTTCCTTCTGATTTTTTCAAATTTTTGCCAGCGGTCTGGCAGCATTCCTCTTTCCTCTCTTCTTCCAGTTTAGCCATCTGTCTCCCATATAGAAACTCTTAACAATATTCTGCCACTGTTGTTCCAACAGAATCAAAAAGGGAGATCTCTCATTAAAACTTCATTAAAATATTAACCTTTTTTCCACTGTAAATTAAGGACTTTAAGGCTCTAAATCAATTTCCAAAACCAAGGTTAGAATGCACAAAAATAATTTGTGGAAATTACCATTTCCGTGAGTGAAAACATGGAAGCAATTGCTCATTGGCCTTCCAGCAACATCTTCAGCAGTCAGACCTTCCTTCACTGCCTGAAACCCTTGCAGAACAACTACAGGAATGTTTGAAAGCCACAAAGTGAAGAGTTTACCATGGATTTTGGCCATCTGTAGAACAAAACAGCACCAGAACAACATGGGTGAGAACCAGTACATTTAAACCAAACAAGATGAGCCAGATCTTTTCCTTTGGCAGGTGCCCCAGGGGTGACCAACCTTGACAAGAGACCATCCAATCTATTCTCACGTATAATGTAGCTTGCAGCCAAGTTTCTCTCTAAAGTCTCATTCACTAAAGATCAAAATATTCCTAAAATGTCAACCAGCCAATATTGCCAGTGTCTGTGATGTTATTTATCACGTCTTACAATTCAAACTCATTGCAGATGAATGCTTACGTGTTTGTAGGTGGTTGATGTAAGACTCATGAGCTAATGATTTCTTCTTACAGATTCCCCTTTGTGTATGAAGTGTAGCCAAAGCAGCTGAGGAGGTGGGTAAAGCAGGAATCGCCCTCTCCTTTCTAGCTCAGCTGTGACAGCCTCATGCCCACAATGCTGTGCACACAAACATCACCAGAAGTAGACAGGACAGCCCCTTCTCTGACTGGAGAATCAGGAGCTGGAAATGTAAAAGGCTGAGGGACGTGGGGCAGTGGCTTTTTAAATCTTGGGATGAGCAATCATACTCTTCAGGTTTGGGAGGTCGGAAATAGAAGAAAACACAACAAACATGCACTGGGTATAATTTTGTGTTGTGGAGTCATGCTACCTTGCCTTGAAGTGTGCAACTTGGGAGAACTGGCAAGACAGGGAAGAACCAGGGAAAAGGAAGGCTGAGAACAAAGACTGAAAGTGAAGTGCTATTACTTACATATTTAAATGTTAAATATTTACTATACATGTATATATAGGATACACATTCTAGAAGAGCTGTGCATTACAACTGGACTTAGAAAAGAGTTTGAGCATAGGCACACAGTGAGTTAGTTCAGCTATTTACAAGCTCAACCAGGCTCAGCAGACTGAAGTCTCTTGTGAAAATACTACCAAATTGTATGTCAGAAAAAATTTATTCTAAGATCTTTTGAAAAATCTGTTGAATAAGTATAAAAAACCCCATCCTTTCTGTACAAGAAACACATATGGATTCATTAGCTATTTCATGGAATATTTAGACACTGCCAGTGCAATGACAGTCAAAGGACAGACATCCAAAAGGCTAAACAGAATTAAAGACTCTGCTTTAAAATGTACCTTTTTCCTATGTGTAAGACAAGAACATTATCATCAGTATTGTTTTGCTCATATGCAAATGAGGTTTTAATGACGTTTCATAGTAAGCTGGAAATTTTCATACCAAGAAACAGCTACTTTAATGATCCCTACTTATTTATATAATTCAGAATAAATCCCTCCCTACCATTCAAAATAAGACTATGTTAAACACTTATTTCATTCAGCTTATAAGTTCACTCATTAACTGCCTGAAAATTTTTAAGGATCTTATGATGAAATTGGAAGTTCATCTGCAGCAGATTTCCGAACAAGGCGTATGGAGCTGGTCCAGGAGGAAATTGTCTCCACATCCATTGCAATTTCAGAAACTGCATAAACAGCAAAGACACCACAAAAAAATACCAGCACCACACTTACTGTTAACATTTCACTTCTGATTTACAAGGCTACATTGTCTCTGAAAAGCTGCTATATAGGCAGAGGATAGATCTGCTTTATCTTGCTTTGCTGGTACCTCTCTAAAAAGAGAAAAAGATGTTGAAGCTTCCGTGCCTCTTAGTCCTTCCCTCTTTATCGCTTTGCTTCCCCATCCCAGAGAAGGAAGTGTTCTTATTTTTAAGCATACGTGACACCATTCCATTATATGGCAGCTACAAATATGAAAATTATCAGCTCTTCAAGGGATAAAAAAATGCAGGTTAATTATATGCCTCCTTGTGCCATAACAGCCGCTGTAACAAAAATCCCTGCCCACAGTACTGGTTTCATAAAAAGCCTCTCGCAAGAACAGAGAAATAAAAAAAAACTTCCTGAGGGTTGGCTACATACCCAAGGCCAGCGGGATTACTGAAAAGTTCAGGCTCATCAGTAGCCATCACATGCATCCACCGTGTGCACTGCTCCTTCACGCCCCTCATATTATCACTTGATTCTAATGTTCTCTGCTATTCCTTTAATATTTTACTTTTCCTCATGGGTTAAATCGTAAGCTCTTTGGGAGGTGGCCAGACCTTTTAATTTTGTGCCTAAAGCACATAAACCAAAAAAGACTCTAATCTGCCATTGGGTAACAAGAGTTTGATGGTTATAATGGCATAACACCTAAGTGTCTACACACTCTCTATTCAGCTGCACAGATAAGTGGGACATGACCAAGTAGAAAGCAAAGTTTCTTCATCCCCTCCAGCTGCCTCTCAGCTAATTCCCACCGTGCTGCCTGGAGCAGGGTTAAAGGTGCCGTACAGCTGTCTGTGTGAGCTTCTTTCACAAGCGCTCTTATGCAACTGAGCAACTCCAGTTGGGAGCTTTTCCTTTATGGACATAGAGCCTATGTCTCTGCAAATGGGCTCGTTTTGGACAATACAGCTTTGGCACTTCTTCAGCACTAGCTTAGGTTCAGCTCACCTGGCTTAGACGGGAGCATGTGGACACCGGGAAGTCACCTAGACGGCTTAGCTGCTCGCACGCCGAACTTACAGAGCTGGCACAGCTGAAAACAAAAGTTGTGAGGTGTTAAGCAAGTTGGTTCGCTCCAAAATTGGGGCAGAGAGCTAACATTTACAAAGTCTTGCTGGCCAGAAATTGCACTGAGAGCTGAGATCGAACCGAGAAACTAAATTATCCACTTCAGAGACCACTTGTGTGACTTGTGATTTCTTCACTTGTGGCATTGCCCTTTTCTCTGTCTCAACCCCCACCCAACTCTGAATTTAGTGTTTTCCAGTCTTCTTGTGAGGAGGAAGTCACAGTTGTGACTGTGCCAGCTGTTCTGGGACGACAACCCAAACAAAACGACTCTGTCCTTCCCGGATATTCTCTGTGAGGAAGACACAGACAGTGATTTCCTGGAGATATTTGGCAATTGCTCTGGCCCTGGTTAACTGGCTGTTTGGCATCCAGGAGATCTGCTTAACTTACTGGGATTTTCATCCTGGGGGTGTCAGAAAACACTAGCTCCAGGTGCCCAACTCTTGCATGCAGAGGGGGAGCATCAAGGCTGGTATCTCAGCTTCACCATCCAGAGAGCCCACACACCCCCATCCACATTCAAGGGCACAGCCATTGTCCTGCAGATTCTCATGCCCTCAGCCCCTCCTGGGTAGGTGTTAGCCCAACAATGGGGACCAAGTCCATCCCAAGTCACGTAAAGTCTTTCTCACTGAAGACTTCAAGAGGATCAGCCCAGGCTCCAGATGAGTCCTGAACGGCACAGTTTCTGCCAGGCCCTATCTGGTTTCTGACCCAGGGCACCTGTGCTACATGGACAGCCAGACCTACCAGTGATGCTTTTCCCCAGTGTTGTTACTCTCGTAGGGTGAACAAAAAAGTAACAAATTCCTCATGTATCGCTGGGAGAAGGGATATGGATGTCTTCACGGCCCCTGAGGCTCACCTCCCTTTCCCATTTGCAGCCCCGTCTGGTCCCTCCATCCCTTCTGAGCAATCCTAGCTGGGCACTCTGCATCTCCCCTGGCTCTCCAGGTTCACTCTGACTTTTCCACGTGTATTAGCCAAGTTCTGGTGATTGTACCTCACAGCCTAGACATGAACTGCTTGCATTTAGAAAGGCAGCTGCCAAAGAGCTTTGCCATGTCTTTGGGAGAAGGTGTTAAAGGGGATACAACTTGCTTTCCTCTTCATACAAGGTGCTGCTGGAGGACAAGGAAGTGAGAAGCCTTATAAGATGCGTGTATTTGCCACAGTTTCCTTGAGTGAGAATTGAATGCCTGGGGAGGCAGGGGTTAGAGCTGGCTGGCAGCTCAGCTGAACAGAAAGGTATCCCTCTTACCAATGAATCCTCCACCTTTCCCTCTCCCCAGGAAAGCTACTGGCTCATTCTCTTCTCCCTACTTCCTTTGAGCTCTCAGAGAAAAGGATCTGTTTGCCCTCTGCTTAGGCTTTCGAACTGAAACATGCTGTGACCTGTGCCCTACCAGCCTACTCACCCCATTATTCATGTTCCATGCCCCAGATTCCATTTCAGGAATAATCTCCACCTCCCAGTCACAAAACACATAGCTGCTAGGGTGTCTTCCAGGCACACACTAGAGGCAGCTATCAGAGAGGGAGCTCACCCTTCCAGGCTAATAATAGGGTTTCAGGACACGTTCCCTGTTTTACCTGCCTGCCACCCTACCGTGAGGAGCGATACTAGGAAAGCACAACTTTTTAGATACCATCTGAGAGGGCTGAGCATAAACAGCTGAAGAGAAATAAGACAGCAGAAGCATGCAAACAAAACTCAACTCTTGAAGAAGGACAACATCTCCCACAACTTACAGGGAGAGTCTTCAGTTTCCCAGATTCATGGCAGTCCTTGGTAGGAGCAGATGTCCCTCCCCAGGCTCAGACCAGCCTTCTACCTCCTCCTCTTCACTCCTCTTCTATCAGCTCATGGCTGGCTGCTTGGGGACACAGCATGAACTGAAGGGAAAAGGGGTTAATGGTAAACATACTGCAAGGAATTTAACTGATGGCCAAAGATCACACTGGAATAGAAAGGATATCTGTACCTTTGGAAGCTGATACCCCAAGAGTTGTATCCTTCACTGCTTGTCTAGGAATTGTGATTAAAAAAATGCCACCAAAGCACTGATCTCATGAATCACAGCATTTGTATAAGGCAGTTTCTTCTGATCCTCATAGCAAATTAGATGGGAGGGACTCAGAACAGCTCTTTCTGGACTTTTTCTAGAAAAAAAATAATAAAACACCACAAAAAAATTCATTATAGATACAAGAACACTGTTTTGCATGAAACACAGCTTTCATTTCCTTTTTGGATTATAGTAGCAATAGAAAAAATACTGCATGTAAATAATTTATACTTACCATATCTTAAAATATAAATACATTTATACAACTATCTAGTTACGATTTTACTACACTCTGGTATTTCCTAGTTTATAGGTTCTATGTTCAGATCGTCTTTCCACAAGCCCAACAGATTTATTGAGCTTCACAGTTAAAGGAAGGAGAGTGAACTGTAAATAAACCAAGAATTTCTTATTAAGAGATCAATTTGGTTACCCAGATATTATTTTCACTCTAGCTGAATACAGACTCACAGCACAGTGATCAGCATGTTGCAAGGAAGCATCGTATAAAGCTGATACACATACATAATGCTGAGAACTGGGTAGTGTTTCCAAACCATCACCACCGGTTAATCTCTTTTGGCTGTTATTTAGGCTTCAGTGAGCAACATAGCTTATACAGTCTCAGAAGGTTCAGGGTCAAATATCACGCTTAAAAATTAGGCTAGTAATCTAAGAGGTTTTGTTTGCTTTTTATTTCATTAGAATCTGAAACATGTGTGGGTGCGTATGGCTCTGTTCTTTCAGCATTCTAGCCCCAAAAGCACGAATAGAAGAATTTCTAGCTCTAAGCTCGAGAGTCAAGAACATGTACTTGGCTTATCAGTTCATCACTTCTGAAAGCCCTGCATCAAATAATTAAAAAATTTTGAAACTAGTGTGCAACTATGGCCTTGTTCAGAACTTTCCAGTCACGGATTTGTTTTCCCATTGTCGTCTTCCTGCGCTGTTTAACATTCCCATATGTTAACAATAAATATACTTACTATACAGAAATACAACTGGTGTCTCAGCTACTGAGTGCAAATAACATATGCTTATTACACGTTCCCAATACCAGAAAAGAGTCACTTTTCCCTAACCCAAGCCCATATTTCACCCCAAATGCTTTCAGCCGGACTGTATCTTCCATTATATGCTTACAGTACTGAAACAGTCTGACAAAAATCAACAAAACACAGTACCAGAAGCTGAATATCCCTGAAAATATTTAAAAATCTGTGTCTGAAAATTTTCTACTTCACTGGCTTCTTAAAAGCAAAGCTCGAAAATGTGATGTTAAAAGAAAAAACGCCTGATCTTCAAAAAAACCTGTTAACCAAAAAAAAAAAAAAAAAGGTGTAACAGACAATTGTTCTACTTGAAACATACCCATGTTCATGTCTACAGCTCACCTTGGACGTCGGGATAAGCCACCATATAAAGCAAAGCCCAACGCAGAGTGGTGGCAGCGGTCTCTGAGTGACCCAGGAAAAGGTCAAAACCAGACTGCACCATGTTGTCTTCATCAAATGTAGAACTGGGGATATTTTTAGTCTACAGGTGTCAGTGAGAAAGGTAAAATGGGGTATACCTGTGCAACAGTTGGCACCGAGACAGACAGCAATCACTATACCTAAAAAATGTTTCTAAAGGACAGAGAAAATACAGGTACTCGAGTAAACAAAGATTTATGCAAAGATTTTCCTC